CTCGGTGGGTGGGCGGGCTGACTGGTGTGCTTCGTCAGCCGCATATGGACTGAATTGAAAAAGGCACGTTGGACCCCGTGGACTCGAGGTACTGTGCCCCACTTCTGGGCACCAGGCAAGTGAGACCAGACGGCAGGTCTCATGGGTTACGCTGAGTGAAGCCAATGGACGGCAGGTCTCACTGACATTGGACGACATCAGTGGCCGCTATGCTGGCTATGAAGGGTGTAGTGAGATGCTGGGCAAGGCAGTGTAGTAAGATGTTTGTTGGAAGCAAACAGCTGGGATCCCATTTCTTTTAGCTAGTTGCAGGTATGCCAAGACAGCTCTTTGATTTGAATGATGCTGATTTGACTGACACAAGCTGGGACTTCGCTTCTGGTCATTTTATCAAGATTGCTTGGGTTGTTCTTTTGGCAGGTGGGAGTGTGCCATTTGTCCAGTGAAGAGTTCGTGCTGATCTCTTTCACTCGTGGAGCTTCCCTGCAGGCTGGAGGGTTGGAGCAGCTAGTGGCAAACAGCTGCACTGTCGGTCCTGAAAGCTGCAAGTGTCCACAAAAACTTTTTTCCGCTGGAAAATGCATGCAGACGAACACCTTTGCAATCTAATATAGCCTTGTTCCGTCCGGGGTGAAATTGCTTTGCAGGTGAAGAATTCTGACCGCCATGTGTTGGTGACCGTCAACAGCACCCTGATTGCTGTGCAGCTCTTTCCTCAGCTCCTGATGTGTTGCGGTGTGTTGCTTGGAACTGGGCAATTCCCCCACCCCCCACGCCCACCATGTGGCGTCACTAGGTGGTACCAGGAACAGATCCGGAAGGCTGGGAAGCTTTCCAGACTCTTTCGGAAGCGCCTAGGCCATCCACCGAGGCCCAAGTAACGGAGTCCAACCAACAGATCATCGGCTTGGTTCGTCGTGGCTTCGATCGGCCGGTTCTCCAGCCGTTCACCTCCACGGCGAAACGGGTCGCTGAGTCCGTGTGTGGTCGCGACGTCCAGGTCGTGACGGCGGTCGATGAGGCAGCGATTCCGCACACTGAAGATTTGATCGGGTTGAAACTGGATTTTCTTCGTCAAATTTCATGCAACTGGTGTTGGAATTTGGATCAATAATTTGGAGGAGGATGACCTCATCTTTGCCCTTTACTTTTTTGGACGTGTGAAATCCATGTGAGTGAAGTGCCCTTCTCTGGAAGTGAAGCCCTTCACACACTGAAATGCTGAAGGACGATAGATCTTTTAGAGTCAAGTTCCGTTCAGTTCGGATAGTTCGCTGCCTTTTGCTTGTCTCGTCGTGAGAATTTTGTGGTCTTCAGGCTTGGGAGGCCCTTGCAGCTGGACACGAACAAGCGCAGGAAGGGAGCCAATCTCATTTGCAGACTCGATGAGAAGAATTGAGGGGATTGTCACGGCTTTTGGATTAACACGGGCCTAGAGGGGGTTTCAGGGACCAAAGACTGTTTCTTAGCATTCAGCATCATGTCAGGGCCTTCTTCCAACTGGTGACAATGCCGGAATTCTCGCGCAGTTTGGGACTGAAGCCAGGGAGAACAGACAAAAGCTTCTGGCCAGAAGTATAGATATGACGACAAGGTCATTTAGCCAAAATTGTTGTGAGGTTGTGGAGCAGATACATCATCACCCCTATCCAGGCGGCTGAGACTGTTGGTTCATCACCCTCACTCGACGACTCGAACACTTCAGGCTCGTGTCAAGGAGAGAGCTGCCCAACGCCTTGCGGAACTGGTTCCCGGCGTCGAAGGTGCGGTGCCCCCATGGCGAAATGCACCCCCAAGCCAAGCCATGAAAGGTACGGTAAGTAACAAATAACAAATCCAGACCCGTCCGGTTGTTTCTCTCTTTTTTTTCCGTTTCTAAGTGAAGAACACTTACTGCAAGAACACACACCAGGGACCAGCGAGCCCAAGACTTTGCGCAGAGATCTCATTTTGCTGGACACTGCAATTGGAGGTGTTGTGAGGGGGCTTGTGTTCTCGTACCCTAAGGACGCAGCTCAGAAGAGGCAGTGGCAGAATAGCAGAGTTGACTCCAGCCCACTGGATTTTCCAACGCTTTGGCTTTGGAATTGCTTCCTTGCTTGGCAGTCGCTGATTGAAGAAATTGAGGAGGTCTGGACACTGCAGGGTGATGGAATTTCACCTTCCTTTCGGGGTCACCCATTTTCCGCCCAAAAACACTATGGATCTCCAGCCAGGGCACCCCGACAGGTTTGGGTCCTGATTGAATTGACACCGCACAATTCGTGTTTTCTGCGGTTCGCATGGCCCCTGCCCACTGTCGACCTCCGCCGTTCCGCAGGAGAATCCCCAGCCAAGAGGCCAGTGCTCTGTGGAGGCGCGACGGGACGGCGGTCCAGTTGTCCGAACACCTGTTAGAACGAAGAACCATTCCATTCGGATCTATTTGTTGGTGTTGTATTTCCCTTGTAGAACGCTTTCTGTCTATATCTGTGAGATCCTGGAGATCGGACCATGCTTGGGACTGCATGCGCAGAAATGCTTTGACCTTTGCGACAATGGCACTTCTCGAAGAAGGTGTCGAATGCCCCTGTCTTCTTGATCACGGTGACCTTCTCAATTTGTTGCAGGCATTTGCAAACAATGTCATAACCATCCTTCTCACGAAGCTTGGCAATGTCCTCAATCAAGCTCTGACAACAACGCCATGCTTCGCCATGCAATGCATCCAACAATCTCTTCACAAACCTCTGTTGCTTTTTTGCGAGGTCTCTGGCCTTGCCCTGAGCATTTCACATCTCCTTCCAGGTTGGCATATGCCATGCGAAAAGAACTCGTCGCCTGTACTCCTTCATCAACCCTGGATCTGCGCCGGTGCAATGCGGCACTCTGCCCTTGTCCACGACCACCACATCATCGTGATACAGACCTTTATCCAAGGTCATGGCGTGTCACCATGGCCACTGCAGCTGGAGCCAGTGTGTTGCCAGCCCCGCTACCAGTGCGAAAGCGCGCGCGCAGCTGGTCGCGAGCACCGTTGTAAAGCCTTCTTCTGAACGAAAAAGTCAAATGCGCGTGAAACATGACATGTCCCCTATGGCTTGCTTCTTGATTTTGTGATCCTTTGCTGGTGCCATGCTCGTCGTCTCTGTTTCTCCGAATTGGTGTTGGCCAGAGAGTTGTGCTCTCTAGCCAAATGCAATGAAGCTTGTACCTTTTCGCGGTTCAGACCGGCTTGAATTGCAATTACCAAGAGCAGCAACGGAGTCGAATCAACTCGAAGTACAACGAACTATGGCAACTGTATGCAAATGTAACAAGCCAAGGGATCCTCTCAATCTGATATTATGTGAAGCACTTCGCACTGTGGCTTCAGACAGCTGAACAAGGAAGCTGCGCCTATTGAGGTGAACTTGTTTTACGAGGGCTTGACCGCCGCGAGGGCCACAGTCTGCTTGACCGCAAAGGTTGAACGTTTACGGTTCAGATATGTTTAGATGGTGTAGGTCCTTTTGGGTCCTCAGTTGACCGCGTGTGCTTTCTGGTCTGAGGTGTTCCCTGACAGTGCTGCAAGCACTGCTCACCGCATTTTGCAGGTGAACGGGCTCTTCCCTTTTTGCCGCATTTGCTTCGAAAAAGGGGGGTTTGCACTCGTGGCCAGGTGGGTGTCAGTGGTGCTGAATGCGGATTTCGTGCCTTCCAGTCGGGTGATGCAGCTGCGGCCGTCCTGGCCCTGAGTGATGGATGTCTGGTAGTGAAGATGCCCAGAGTTTCAATCATCCAGGTCTCGCTGATGGCTGTCAATCTTGAACTGGTCCAAGACTTGGTTGAGATGCTTTTGAAATAGGGATAGGCAGAAGCCAGAGGCACTAAAGTCGCAAAACACTGACGATCTCTTATTCCCAAACATTGTTCAGTACAGGATGGGCGCACCCTCCTGATGCCGCGCCGCGGTGAGAAACTTCTGAAGGTGCGACACTGCGTGACGGGAAAACGCAAAGGATCAAGGAGGACACTGTACTTCTCAATCAAGTTGCGCTCCCGAAAGCAGACAAAGTACTTGGGCTGTAGCTGTATAAGGAGACAAGAGACCCCAGCAAATTCTCAATTAGAGGTGGATATTCTTCGAAGAGCACACCTTCGGCCTGCATTGGTCTGGAGCGCATCGTGGGTTCTGCTCTTAGCAAGGATTCACTTCACCGGTCAAGTGAACCAGCTGCTGATTCTTAAGAAGCGCTCGATATATACCTTGAGTCTCCAATGACCCTTTTAAATTTGCCTTTCCAAGAAAAAGAGGTTTTTGAAAGAAAGCACTCTTTTTTGCATATGTCATGAAATGTTCCTTTTTTGTTTGTGCCCTGTCAGATCCTCCTTAGACAGTGTCCTGAGACCTTTTTTCGGCGTCCAAAACGCGTCTTTTTGCGTCCAAAAGGCGTCTTTAAGCGTCCGTGCCGGACACGTCCGGATGAAGATTCACTCTGCACCTTTTTTTGAGTCCTCATCTCTAAAAACGCGTTTTTCGAGCAAAAACGCAAAAATAGTAGACCAAAAACAAAAACGCAGAAAAAAAAGGTCTTTGGAGACTCAAGGTATATATATATATGTGTGTGTGTGAGTCATTGGGGCGAGACCAACTAGATGGAGTGAACAGGTAACCTTGGGAGAACGTTATCATCGCAAATGTGCCTTGCTTCCTTGTAGCTGTTCACAGCCTTATAGGCTCAAGCATGTCTTTGACAGGCGAGATGCACAACCTCCACATGTGTATGCCACCTGTGTCACGGTGTCAAGTGTAAATAGTCCAGGCTTCTAATACAGGCAGGTGCTTCTGCAGACATTTTGTATGCCTACACCCGGTCGTGCTAGAAACTTACTGCTACACCACAAAAGCATACACACAGGTGTTGATAGTATACAAAAATAACTATATATAGATAGACATATTTATACATGTTTGTGTACATGTAGATGTTGATATGCTGAATGTATGTACATGAACATTCACACACCTACTATATAGCACAAACCTTGAAGAGAATGCAAGCAGTGCCATGCCGCCGGTAAGCTTGCGCAAAGAGCTGCGTACATTTGTCGGGCAGGTTTTGCGTGAGGGAGGGGAGGATCCTTCCCTGGCAATAGGTGGACGAAAGGGAAAGGGAAAGGGAAAGGGAAAAGGCAAGGGAAAGGGCAAGAGCAAGGGCAAGGACAAGGGCAAGCGAGGGATCAAGGGGAAGGACAAGGGAAAAGGCGGAAAAGGCAAGGGCAGCAAGGGAGGGGATGGCAGCCAGATCCAACGAGTGAGGGATGGCTCATCAAGAGCTCCGAGACGAGTGCTCCGCAAGCAGAAACGTGATGAGAAGAAGGCCAGACGCGAGCATTTCTTTGGACATGGCAAGAATGAGGAGAATGAGCACGGCCAAGCGAAGGCTGCTGGCAAGGCTAGAGCCTCTCCAAAGAGTACGCTTACAAAGAAGAGAAAGCGTAGAGATGACGATGAAGAAATCACATCTGAGGAAGAGGGTGATAAAAAGGGCAAAGATCCCAAGGAAGAGGATGAGGATGAGGAAGCTGCAGAAGGCTCTAATGAAAGCTTGGAAGATGCTGAGTCGGAGGAACCCAAAGCCAGCGATGCGGAAGATGAGGGTGAAGCCAATTTGCAGAGTAACTCTCAGTCCTACCTGCCACCTCATTTGCGAGGACGAGGCGGCGATAATGTTCAATCTTTTCAGCGAACCCTGCGTGGCACTTTGAACCGGGTTTCTGAAGGAAACCTTGATCCTAGTTGCCAAGAAATCGTCAAGGTTTTGAGCCAGATGATTCCAGAAACGGGTACTGCCAAAGCAGCAGATGCCTTTACCAGTGCGCTCCTGTCAGCAGCCGTCGAAGATCCGAATATTTCCGTACTAGTCTTGGGCTGCTTTGCCGCTTTGGTTGGGGCATGCCATGTGACCTTTGGCTCCTCATTTGGCGCGGCGGCTTTATTGAAGTGTCTTGACATTTTGCAAATTCGGATGGGGATGTCTGCAGATCATGACCCCGACGAAGCCACCAACACAGATGCAAGAATTGCCAAGAACTGCATCATCTTCACCATGCTATTATTCAGTTTTGGGATTCTGCCTGGAAGCGTGGTTTTTGATGTGGTGCGATATGTGCTGAAGCGGCCGATCACGGAAGTCTCGGTGGAGCTCTCTCTGACCTTGTTGCGCTATGCGGGGCGGCAGCTGCGCTCCGACTGCCCGGAGGACTTCCGCGAGGTGCTGCGCTTCGTCACCTCCGAGGCGGAGGCGTCGAGGTCCGCGGAGGTGGAGGCGGCGTCGAGGTCGGGGATGCAAAGCCGGCTGGATTACTTGCTGAAGGAGCTCAATGACTTAAAGAACAACAAGGCATGGACCGGGAGGGATGATGGCCGGCAGTGCGCTGCCCTCAAGGGTTCTAAGATGTTGAAGGTGTTCTAGAATTTTTGTAAAACAGACACATTTCACTTGTGCAGAGCCTTTCTTCAGGTGTCCTTCGCAGTGATGGACCGCTTCAATCAAACTCGTGGCTGGCTCCAGTCAGCACCCTTGCTGAAGGGTCGCAAGGTCTCGGAGCACATCCTGGCGGTGCCCTTCCGCGTGCTTCACGATGAGGTGCCCAGCAACTGGCCGCTGGGAGTGCAGGCGGGAGAATCCGCAGTACTGGCAAGGTCCAAGAGCTCTGGGTCAAATCCGCTACGAGAGGCTGGGGGATGGGCCGGGATGGGGTGAGTCTTGAGTCTTGAAACCTCTTTTTCTTCTTTGTGGAACGGGTGCGGAACCCCTAATTATCCTGGAAACCAGGCAGGGGAGATGAATGTATATATATATATATATACGGATCTCGCATTCTGACTGACCGATTCTTTTTTGCGAGTTCTGGGTGAGGGCCTTAGAAGTCATCCTATTGGACGAACCCCATGATTCTCCAACAAAACAACTCAATGGCCCGATCCAGGTCTCAAATGAACTTCAGAATAGGGGGACCCCCGGCAACGGGGAGCCCAAAGCCACTGGTGAGGGAAAGGTGGCAAGACAATCTACGTGAACTTATTGTAAACCTTCTCCTGCCAGTCTTTTTTTTGTTTCCGATGTAACATGGCTGGTGATCTAAACCCCACACCTCTGCAGTTCCAACAGCATCTCTATGTTCTTGTGTGTTCTTGTCCCACCCCCGAGTCGCAGCGCCTGCAGGCGGCCATTGCTCAGCGCCTCACCTCCGAGTTGCGCCAGAATCTCTTCGTTGCGCTGATGGGTGCAGAGGATTTCGAGGATGCGGTGGAGCGGGTGATTTTGGCGGCAGGAGCTGCAAAGAATGGACATTCAGAAGCCTGTGTTGTGCTGTTCCACTGTGCGATACGTGAGAAGAAGCCGCCACTTGGTGGGATTCTGCCTCTTTTGTTGGCTTTGCCATCCGGTGTTCCTTGTGACAAGTGTGCAAAAATGGTATGACACTGCAAGGAATGCTTTCTATGCCCACGTTGCACAGAGCCTGTGCAATCGACCAGCTCCGGTGGGGAAGCGTTTCTCTCACAGCATGAAGAGAGCGGCAGTGCAACACATTCAGACGCCAAGCTTGAGTATACAGCTGTTTAACCTCTAGTTTGTAGAACATCATGAATACTGTAACCAGCTGACAGTTTTTAAATTCAAGCTTGTTGTTTGACACTTGGAAGTTTTGTGGAAGCGAGGCAGGCACACACCTACGGGGTTCGGGCTGCTGTTTGTTTGGCGGAACTTTGTGCTGCATTGATGAGTTCCTCTGTCGGACTGCCATTGGCCGTTGTGCGTTTCACCCGTTTTGGTGGTGATGAAGAGGGCGATGGGCAAGGCATGCGAGGCGTGTTGGGCCTTTTTCTCCGACACCTGACCGAATCCCTACTGCAGCGCGCAGTGGATTCGCAGATCGCCCCGCTCTTCAGCCCGCTTCGAAAGTACAACGACGTCCGTGAGGGCATGCTGCTGGTGCTTGATGGCCAGGTGCGACCGAGACTGCCTTCGCACAACACCAATCCTTCAATATGGGAAAACTTCAGGCTGGCAAGGAAGGAACTTGCGACACCGGGTTCTTCAAACGATTAGGGCAGCTGGAAAATGCAGCTGGTGCCAACCTGCATGGCTAGGGGGAAGTTGCTGGAGAAGCAGTCGTGTTGTCAGTTTGACCCTCGCGTGATGGATGAGATGGATGAGAGGGTAGTCACCCGGTAGCGAGTCACTTTCTATACCACTTGGGTTGGTGCATGTTGAGGTCTTGCGTAAAATCTTTGCCAATCTTTGCTCTCCAAGGCCCAGATTTGCATCCTCTTCAGGCAGCCTGTGAACCAGCTTGGATCAAGATTCGGAGTGAACCATATATAACGTAAATAACTGTTCGACCGTGCTGATGCAGTTTGCTCAGGGGTAGCATGTACCCATGCACATGCATCGCTGTCCATTTCATTCGAGGAGAGTTTTCCAAAGTTTGCCGGTGCAGTGTCCCTGCTTGACTCTTTTCCTGGGATCCTCCCGTCGATCCGACGCAGGCAACGTGATTACGACCAACTGACAGCCTTCGTCAGCACGGCCATCACGGAAGCCATGTCGCCGCTTGGCAGCTCAAAGGCACCGAAGCCAAGCTGTTGAACACTCCCTTCAGCTCAGGTCGCGAAGAGGTTGGCCGGAAGCCGCGAGCTTAGGGGTTACTTTGACGGGGAGTACTGCAGCAACAGTACCCATTTGATGGAGCCATGATGGCATTTGGTTTGTGTTTGGAGCCTTTTCATGTTTTCTGCGGTCTTGAATTGATTGATCAAAGCTTCTCAGAACTGGGTCTTCTGCGGTCTTGGCATCTGAGGCCCAGCAGGCCGACGCGGAGGCTTGCTGGCTTGGTCGGCACTGGTTTCTGAATGAGATTCGTTGGACAGGTGAAAGGGCTTTGGTTCACGACAGATAGATAGATAATGATAGATAGGTAGATAGATAGATAGTAGCTCTCTGACATCCAGAAGTAGCCTAAGAGCTCCAGATTCCAGATTGGATTGGAGAGAACTGGGCTTTGAGCTTTCCAGCTGAACCCATTGAAGGCAGAGACGCAACGTGCGGAAAGCAAAGCCGGGGAGCCTGACGTTCGCTGGTGAGCAGCTGAAGCACACGATTGACAAAGCATACCATTGACCTTCGCTACAGTGACCGGGGCTGCAGGGGTTCATGTTAAATGATCAAACAATGTAGGACGTGAATCCTTTTTCCTTTGCGCTTAGGGAAAAACCAAGCGCATCCAGAAGGGTACGTGAGTCACGCCACCTGGTTTCCTGACCAGTGGACTTCGTCAATTGCCTGAACCAGGATCAACCACAGCATGGAGTTGATGGCTCAGCTGGCGATCAGCAGTCGACGGGATTGAAGAAAGAGGAAAGCATGTTGCCGGCGTAGCTTTTCTTAACTGCATTTCGGAGAATGGTGCCTAGATAAAATTTCACAGATCACACATGCCTGTCGCACAAAAAAGGCGGCCCACATGGCCCACTGCCACAGATCACCCGACAGACTGCAGAAAATCCACCTTCTTAAGGCAGCTGTGTGCCGCCTTTTTCTGCAGATTGGCATGGATTTCACCTCGAATGTCCATGCCGTCGATGCACTGCCTCCCCATGTGTCCTCCTCCAGCGCTGGACGCCACGGCGGCCACGGCCACGAGCGCTGAGGCCAGGTTCCGTCTGGAGGTTGGAGCGCCCCTGGTGTTCTTGCCAGTCACCCAGATGGGCAATGAGTATACAGCTGTGAAATGCTATGAAAGGACCAAAGCATCAATTACACTCGATGACTGTTCACGATTTTCTGCGCTCATCCAAGACTTTCTTGCAGCCGCTCTCGGATTTTTGGCGCTGTAGACAGGAATGGAACAGCAGTTGGGACCAGGATTGTGATAACATATGCAAGTTGCAAGTGTTCAGCATCCTTAGCATATCAGTCAGGTATGCTCAGGGAAAAGAGTTGTGGACTGTCTCATTGTCGTTTGTAAATCCTGAATTCAGGTTAGATCATGTGTTAGACAACCCACATCTTTGGGACGGGTCGCATACTTTGTGACCACATGGCCGAACTGGATTTCGTCGCTGTGCGATGCATCGGGGGTGAGCTGGCTCAAGCCTCGCGACCGCTTGCAACGTCGCGGTGCCGGGGGTGTCTGGTTCGCCGTACGACGGAGCCCAAGCGCTCAGCGTTCTTGAAGTTGGCCAGCTTTGCTCCCTTGCTCTTGGGCCGTCGCTCGAAGAGGTGAGGGAAATGAGAGAGCGAGAGAGGATGGGCCCCTTCAAGCCACCTGAGTTCTCCTTGCTGTGGCAAAAATGTACATGTATTACAATCTGCAGTTGGGATTATGCATTGCGTTTGGTCCTGTAAGATGGATTCTGTTTGACAGGGGGGCCCAGTGCCCGCCCCTCCCTGGATCAAATCTTTTCATAGTGTGCCCCACTCGAACTTGAAATTCGAGCTCAAATTTGAACTCGAACTGGAACGGTTAGAGCTCAACCAGAAGCCTCGAACTCGAATTCGAACTCGAGCTGGAACTGTTAGAACTCAACCCTGGAAGGCCTCGAACTCGAATTCGGACTCGAACTCGAATTCGAGCTGAAACAGTTGGAACTCAACAGTTGGAACTCAACCCTGGAACTATAGTACTTGAAGGTTCCCGTGTAAAGTGCACCTCATATGTATAGGCACAGTTCATGAACATTGTACTTTTGGCTCAAGTGATGAAAAGGTCCGCAGCCGCTGCCACTTCGCGGTCACGACGGATCTTAACTTTGACTTGTTGCTTGGTGTTGTTTGTGTTGGTGTTCCGTTTTTCAACGGTTCAAGTGGTTATCAGCCGTATCGGCTTTTGATTGTTTTTCGGTTTCTGTTACAACACTACAACATCATTCATTAGTGTGGTTGCGGGGTCCACAGAAAACCCGTGCATGTCAAGTCGGCGTCCTCGAGAGCCTTCCCGTTCACCACCGCGTCGACCGTGGCGGCCTCCTGAGCCGCCAGGGCCGCCACCAAGGAGGCCACCAACGCCTCCGGACCCTCCGAGGCGTGGCATTCAGGGAGGAGCTGCCGCACGGCGAAGCAGGGAAGCGTACATTGTCAATTCGGGAGGCGATCGAGCGACGATCCCGATTGTTCACGCTGGCGGTCAGAGAAGGCCACTTGGAGCTCCTAGGTTTTGGGAGCCGAGTGCAAGCGAGGATTCGGGTGAGGAGACTGACGAAGTTGAGATTGTTGCATTTACAGCGGCAGTTGATTTGACTTCGTTGCAGGCTGAGCATCTTGTGCCGCGTTCAAGGCTCTACAATCCGTACGTCTTCGATCATTCGCCTGGCTCGTCAAGTTTGGCTGCGGCCCCAAGGCCTGTTCCGAGTCGAGCGGATTCGAGTGTTGTTGACACGCCTGCCGGAAATCGGCCTTACGACATCCTCAAGTACTACCACCCGGCGCCTGGAGTCGTTCTTCACCCGTGGTCGCGAGTTGACATCGTTTACAGAGAGGCCTTGACTTTTCCGTCTTCAGCCAAGTTTTACGTGTGGGCGAACCGTGATTCGTTGAGGCTGGCTGCAGAAAGGCCGAATCACTGGGGCTCTGATCCGGTGATTGCATTGGACTACCATCAGGTCCTTGACGTTGATCGGAGTGTCAATCCTCCGGATCGTGTGGATCATATTGGTAATCTGCCTGCGGGCCACATTGCAGCAGTTCGTCGCTTGCGAAGGGAGATTGAAGAGGTCGGCTTGCGTTGTCGAGTGAAGATCATTGTTTTGTCGCGCATTCACGACAGTGTGGTGAACCAGAGGAACTTGATCACTGCAGTACAACAGAGTTCATTGTCGGTTGATTGTGTGATCATCACTCGTGAGAGAACGGGCCCAGGTGGAAAGTTTGAGGTGCTGAGATCGTTGACTCGTGGTCAGGCTGTGATTTTAGACGACAACGTTGAGGTGCTGCGTGAGTTCAGTGCAGCGAGCCTCATCGCTATTCAGATTCGCAAGCCTCGGGTCGGAGCGATTTTTGACGAAGAGCAAAGGTCTTGGAGCTTTTCAGCACCTTGGTTGGTGGATCGTTTGGTGACTTTCGTGCATCACCATTCGAATCCTGTTGACGAGGAAGAGTGAAGTTGCATCGAAGCTGCTCCGGTCCGGCTGCTTTGAGCGCCGCGGAGCCTCGTTCGTTAGGCCAGTTCCCGAAAAGAGCCTGTGCCAATTGTGCATTCGTTCCCGCCGAAAAGAAAGAAGGGATTGGGAGAGTTTGAATAGTTGGCCAGTGAACCATGTCAGAAGAGCAATCTTCATCGTTGAATGTCAGTTCAGATACTACTGTTGGTGGTTTGGCAGTTGCAGTTCGGAGCAGGTCCCAATCCTCCCATGGTTCCGGAACACCCCAAGAGGGAAGGAGATCAAAACCTCCAAAGAGATCTTTGAGCAGAGTCATCAAAAACATGCCCAAAGGTACTCAGTCCCAGGTTCAAGCAGAGGGGTCATCAGTGGTTGAACCATCCATTCCTGCGCTCACTGACCTTCGGTCTTTGCCTTCGTCCAGTGGGTTGCTCCAGCGGTCAGTTGGTCCATCCGAGTTCCAGGGTACCGGAGAGGAAGATGAAGTCATGCCTAATCAAACTAGCTTGACACAAGAATTGCACCTTCATGACGCCCGGTCTTTTAACACGGTCCAGGTGGCATATGTTGGTATCGATCATGCAGAGTTCGGTCGTGTTGTAGCTGAGTCTCAACGACTGATCGGGGAAGCGGACTCTAGGGCTTCGCACTTCGAAGGTGTCGCTCAACAAGTCTTCCAGGAAGCCACAGCTCACATCGGTTACCTGACATCCCTGGTCGAAGAACTCCGTAGTCAGAACGAAATGCTCCAAACAGGTCACACCGAGAAAGATGTCATGATCACCAGCTTGCATGAAGCGGTCCAAGAGGTAAAGCAAACCCTTGAGAACCAGATCAAATTCAACCAGTCCATGTTTGAGGGTCAACTTCGCAAAGCGAAGGACGAGATCGACCGTTTGTCCGACCTCAACCAAAAGTCCCTCAACCTTTTAGGCCATAAAGATTCAGAAATCCAGCGTC